GTTCTGGAGGCCTCAGAATTTCATAAAAAAAAATCATGTCAATAGTAACGGTTTAAAAAAGGATTGTTCCATAACCTGGCAACAAGCCAATATAATTGTAAGGAAATGTTGTACTTGTTCTTTTTATAATCAGACACCATTACCAGCAGAATGTAACCCAAAGGGTACTCAGAAGAATGAAATCTGGCAGATGGACGTGTTCCACTTTGCAGAATTTGGAAAACTGAAATATGGATACCACACTATTGATATGTATTCAGGATTTCAAGGGGCAACTGTTTTGAGTTCTGAAAAAGCTGATTCTGTAATCACTCATCTGCTAGAAGTTATGGTCATCATGGGTATACCTGCACAAATTAAAACTAACAATGCTCCAACATATGTCTCTGTTAAAATGAGACAGTTTTTTGCTTATTACAATATAAAGCATATTACAGGTATATCACATAATCCTACAGGCGAACTCTAAAGGATATGCTAAAGAAACAGAAAGGGATAACAAAAAACCCCAGAAATAGATTACATAATGCTCTATTAGCTTCAAATTTTCTCAATGCCAATAAAGGAACAACAGCTGTGGAGAGACATTGGATAATAGACAAAAACTACAGAATTAAATCAACCTATATACTTTAAAAATGTGCTGACCTCAGAATGGAAACCAGGATATGGGTTACGTTGTAGACAAGCTTTTGCTTTTGTTTCTACAGGAGAAGATAAGCTATGGATACTATCAAAATTGATAAAGGTTTGCTTTGAACAAGAGAGACATCTTAATTGGAAGAGGTGATAGTTCATAAACCAGCATGAATATCCAATTTAAACTAACTTATACCAGTAACAAATGCTTTTCATTTAATCAGATATAATTTGCCAAAAGGGAACTTCCACAAAGTTAGGCTTGGAGAAGTGTTTTTGTTTTTGTCTTTCAGAATGAAGGTTGATGTATCTGCAGAACACTGGACAAATGAGACATCTGAAGAAAAAGGGACAAATCTTCCAGAAAAAAATGTCTCAAGAAAATGAATAAATTGACCTATTTATATACCACACACAAAATTTCATAAATCTTCCTAAATGTTCGTTTCTGCTCTTCTCTACAGACACTTAACACAAATGGTGTTTTTGTGGTCCCAGTTCAATTAAAAATTTTAGCTGGCTTTGGAGTTGGAGAATGTTTTCTCCTTCTCTAAAACAAAGCTTGCTGTTAAAAGGAAAATGCAAAGTCTCTGTATCATGTCAGAAGAAAGAGCCATCTGATATGGGACAGAAGAAAACCAATAAATTTAGGGACTATTCTATTGCCACCAATCTCAATTCTTTGGTTCTGTTTTGATTCTTTAAATTTTTCTTAAGATATTAATTTTTTATCAAAATTTATAAGATTAATATATGTATATATTATAAACTTTCATTATGATATTAATGGTCATATAGAGTACTAACTGATTCTAGAAAAGAGGCTTCATTTAGCTGCCTATACATGTTTTTGTGTTGGAGTCTATCAGTTTCTGCAGGGAATCATGACTAGGCCTAATAGCAAATTTGAAGTCTCCAGAAGGATTATGGGGCCCCACAACAACAATTCCATGTGGACAATAATAATACCACTAAGCTGACAAACATCACCCAAAGATCAGCTTTGGACTACAAACTGCTCAGAACAATTTCAATATGGCTACCAGAGATGATCCAGCTTCACAGACTAGTTAAACAAGGACTTGAGATAAACCCTGCACTTTGGCATTATGCATAGAATGGACAACAAATGATATAGCTACCTCTCCCAGAACTTGAAAATTAACCCCCAATTTTTCTTTTCAAGATCCCCTAATGATGCATTTGCCCACAAACAGCAGGAAGCAATTTTAAGAACACTATGCCCACATTCCCAAGAGGTGGGGTGGGTGGTTTTTGATCTTTCAATAGGTTTTTGGCTTGGGATAATTGCCATTGTTTAGGATGGTTGGTTACAAGTTGATATTGTTTTTTGTTTGTTCGTTTGTTTTTTTGTTTTTCGAGACTGGGTTTCTCTGCGTAGCTTTGC